CGTCGACTTTCTTTTTTAAATATTAACTCAATTTGTGCGATAGATTGTTAATCTATCTTTCAAAACCTTAGCATAATTTTCTTGAATTTCAATTATTTTCTTTAAAACATTTTCATTAAGAAATTATCCTTTTATCACTGTAATTATCCTTAAAGGCACGCACTATCCTTTGTCCATAAAACTGCACATTTTTATTCATTTAAACGCAGCAGTAGATAGGTCAATAAACTATAACAGGCTAACGATAATTGATTCCCGCCTCCCCTCCCTATCCTTCCCACCTCCTCCCTCCCTACCCCTCCCTCCACCACCAACTACTTCCCATCAACATTCCAACCCATGTAATCATCTTGTATATCCTTACATGTTACCTGGTTGCAGGTCCCAGGAGGCTCTTAAACAACAAGAATTTTATATAAAGAATTTTTGACAAAATAAAAATATCTATAAGATAATAAGTATTTAGTATTTTGAGAAAACTCGGAATATATTCGGAATTTATTCCACAACATCAACTTTGAACGAACATAATTTTGGAATTAATTTAGTACGAAGACATATTAGTTTAAACATTGAAGACCAACTCAAGCTATGTTAATACAGTCACACTTCCATAACTCGAAATCCTATAACTCGAATTTTCTATAACTCGAACTAAACAGAGTGCAACAGGGTTTTAGAGAGCAATTTACATACAATTCTGTTTTCATAACGCGAACTTTATAACTCGAATTTCTCTATAACTCAAATAAAAATATTGTCACGTGCCAATAGGAACATGGGAAAGTGCATTCTATAAGTCGAATTTTTTTTTTACGTATAAATCCAATTTGGTGTAAGGGGAAGTCCCTTTATCTAAACTAAATATTTCAATATTTTTCAAAATACATACTTAGAATTGGCATTTCTTCCGCCGAATATGACCTCTAAATTACAACCGCTTCATCAAGGAATAATTTAAATTTAAAAGTGTAACTATATCGCAACAGAATCGTAAACGCAGTACTAAAGCGTATAGAAGCAAACAAAAAGCAGTATATCACTCTTATGGATTGCGTAAATCATGTAACAAAAGCTTGAAATATTGATGTAAATAGTCAAACGATAGCGCACTGCTCTAAAAAAGCTGGATTTAGTCAATTTTCTACATGGAACGAATAGGACGACATTCCTTTAGTTTGTCTGGAATAACATAGACGATGACCATGAATTAATATGAAAGTAAAGTAAATAAAATAACTTCCAATGCTACTCTTAACGATTATATTGAGCTGAATAATGAAATTTGTATATCAAGCTTTTCTACAGATGACGATATTATTGAGCATTATAGCTCTGAATGAGTGGATCCTATTCTAAGCGCAACAAAAAGTAATGATGAGGGTTCGGTGGATGTAAGTGTTCATCAGCCTTCCAAGAATGACGTAGAAGACTCATTCAAAATTCTGCATTTATATTTGCAAACAAATGATACTACAACTGATGATCACTATAAAGCTTTGAATAAATTGGAATTTCTTTTTATTGAAAATAAGAAAAAAATTAAAGTCCCAAACCCTAATTTCTGAATATTTTCCACTATAACTTCTTTGCTTTATTTGATTGCAAATAAATAAATATCTTAAAATATAATTCTAGTTTCTTTCAAAAATAAAAAAATTCTCTAACTCTAAGTCTCCAAAAGTCGATATTTTCTTTGCAAAATTGTACTACGAGTTATGGAAGTTTGACTGTATAAGGTTTTTAAAATATTTGACGGTTTATGAAGAAGATATTTTTTGGGAAAAGCTATTTTCAACACCTCGGCAAATATTGAAAACAAATCTCCTCCCTTCCCCGTTTTTATACAATCTTATACGTTTCTTGAAATAAGGAGTCTTCTTCCGATTAGAAAGCACGTCGGTACGAAATATTAGGTATATATATCTATATGTTAATATGTAATATAATTTATAATGTCAACTTAATTTTTATAAATTTAAAACATATACGGTTTTTGAAAACATATACAAAAAATCTGTTTTGTATTATTTTATAATTTTTAAAGTATACATTTTTAAACATGATATATGTATATATAAGTATTAAACATTTACTGCTCAGATTTAACTTAAGATAAGCAAAAAATACAAAATTAGCATTAAGTATATTAACAATGACTTAGCTTTGAAATTTTACAATAGCACCGTAACATAAATTTTCTTTTCTTTTATATATATACAATAGACATATGTATGTATAAAAATGCATTTCAAAGTTATTCGGTACTTTAAGCAAAAAGAGCAAATATAAAGAAATTGCAATAAAAGTCTTAAAATGCATTTCAATTATACAAAGCAAGTAAAATAAATTAACAATGCTTCCACTTACGAGTACTTCATTTTGAGTGCTTCATTTCATTTCTAAACATTTATGTATTTGAATATATTCTGAATAAATATATTTAATTAATTTTCAATTAATTTTTTTTTTGGTAAACTTTTAAATTATGCATTCTCATGTTTGCAATTGCTCGATTATTTATAAAAAAATATTAATGACAGGTTAAGTAACATTTTAAAAAAGATTTGCTTTAATTATTTTATATGTATATATGTATATAGTATAATTTATTTACATGTGCATGAAAAATCAACTGAAGTGTTTCGATTTTTTCTTTTTCAATATATATGTATATACTTTAGTTAAGTTAATTCCATTTTAATATTAAGTGCCTTAAAAATTAATACTTATTACATTCAATATTTTCACTTTTTAACAAATAGTACGTGTTCATGGAAATGGAAACATAAACTTATAAACTTATAAACTGAAATTGTGATTTGTCTCATATAAAAAAAATGTTTTGTACGATTTTTTACTAGTGCTTCAAAGTGTTCCAAAGTAACAAATTTCGAGAGGTTCAAGTTTACGCAATTCGAATATATATACTCGAATCGAGCATTTCAAGTATTTAAAACAGCACGAGCTGTTTGTTGGAGATATTCCAACTATCTCGAGCGATAAATCTATTATCTTATACGTATATGTAATACGCTTAATAGCACAGAAATTGCTTTACGCAATACGTCTGTTCCCGTACGCGCGTGTAGTAAAAGCTTCTTAGTGCTTGGTACTAAGAAGCTACGGTGCTAAAAAGTTTGTGAGAGGGAACCATCATTTCGAATTGCACAAAACTTTGTTCAATTTTACAAATTTCTGCAATTGAAATATAGTTCGAAAAACTGATGATCACTTACCCTATGTAGCATACAGAATATGCGAAATATAAATATTAAATTTTATAGTTATAAACAAGATTAAGACTATTAAAAAATTTAGAAAACATAAATATGATCTTCTGTTCATTCTTTATTTCACCAGGCTTTTACTAAGAAGTTACTAGAATAGTTCTTATATAGTGTTTTGCTTTATAGTACATTTCATATATTTTATAACAATAGGGAGCTTGAGCAAACTATTATGTTCAAAAATTTTCGACCAGTTATCTTCAGCACAAATACATTGATTTCAGAGGTAACAACGCTGTTTACGATGCGAGATCTAAGTAGATTATTCTATGTTAAATTGATTTTTAACGTCCGTTTTCACGACAGAAATTAAATTCTTATTATAAACTACTATTATTAATAGGGACATTTTTATCGAACAGTAATCAAATAACAACAAAAATTTTTTTTATTGTTTTTAATTAATTGAATTTTTAGTTAACCATACAGCTATTTCGAGTATTGCCAAATATCCATTATATTTAATTATTTGTAAATAATTTTTTGAGACTGTAAGTACCAGAAATTGAATTGTATCCTACCAAAATTGTAGCTCAAATATTTAATTTCTCTGTTTTTCTATATATAGAAAAAGCACTGGCCACACTTTTTAGTGAAAGTGTGACAATATTTTCTTTAGATTGCATTTATTTCTTTTACTCTTACAACATGCTTTAATTTTGCTAAAGAATTACATATTCTCTTTTCGTAAATTTTTATTTATTCTCTTTACGTAAATCACACGCCTACACTAAACGCTGTTATCTAATTGAGCAAATATTTAAAATGCTTAAAGATTCGAACATTAAAATACTCGAAGCTTCGAACATCAAAATGTATGAAGATTCGAACAGTTTAATAAATATTTGAAGCACTAATGTTATACTGGATTCACACTAGAGTTTTGTTTGTAATTAAAGCTGTCAACTGTTGTTGCTTTCAATGCAAAGTGAAAAATTTTGATAGCTAAAATTATAAACAAAACTCTTGTGTGAATCCTGCAGCAATCATATACACCAAGCCTGATAAAGTCAGACAATAATAATTTACAACAGATTAATTAGTTAATTAAGGCGTTTTATATCGAATTTTATGTATTTGAAATAAACAAAAAAAAATTTTAGAAGTGATTTATATTTAAAATAAAAAATATTTCTAACGAATAATTTACAATAATATTACTGCATTTTTTCTTTTAAAAATGCTGAAACATAAAATAACTTGCTACCCGAAAAGATTTGAATAAAAGTAATATTGAAAAATAAGAAACAGTAAGTAAACAAAAAGATTTGTACCAGTTATATCTGTTATAACTGTCATTCGTAAGTCTTGAGACAACAAATTTGTTTCAAATAATATACTGAGTTGGTTTTCTCTTTACATTAACATAAATATAAGGTTTAGAATAATATTTTTGTTGAATAACATACACTTATACTAACTTAAGTTTTAGATCATATACAAAATCAAATAGTTTTGAAAGCATTGGTTTTAAAAATATAAATATATACATATAGATATATATATTTATATATATAACATATATATAGAATAGAGTGTGCATAATAAAATAATATGGAAAAAATTTTGTGTACAAAAATTTGTAATTACAAATATAAATCTAAAAAAGCATCTTTCATAAGAAACTTTACAAAAAAAAATTAATATATGTACATAATTGTAAAAAATACTACACAAAATGGTTACACAATACTAAAAATATTAATTACAAAAATTTTTAATTAAATTAGTCGTAATATACTTGTATGTTCAAATCTTTTACATTAAATTAAGTAAAACTTTAAAATTAATTAAAAGTACTTTTTTACAAATTGAATAGTTTATGCTTAACTGGCACACATTTTTATTTATATTGTGTTGTGCGTTGATTGCTCTGCAATGCCAACTTCTGCAACGTCGTCATAGGCCTCTTTACTAGTATTAATATTTGTATCGTTCGTGTGATTTTGGACATTGGTGCTATCAGTTTCGGTGGTTACTTTTACAGAATCACTGGTTTCATGTTTTGTTTCCAATTTGGGACTATCGAATGGAAAATCCAATTCAATATTGCTACTGACATCAGCAATAATTGAAGGAGAAATGTTTGCAGCAGCATGAGTATCCGATGTGTCAACAGTGTTTTCATACCAATTTTGAATATTTTGTATTGTATCTTCATGTGAACTATGTTCTGGAGATACGTATTCCTTAACTGGTACCTTTATATCAGTGGATAAGTATGTTGCATCACGTGATTCAGTGGGCTGTGAAATGATATTTTTATTAACGTTATCCGCACTGCATGCACCGCTACTACTGATTTTATTTTCCTGATTTGATGGTGAAACCGATATGCTGTCATTGACGCAGGGATTATTTTGACGAAATACTTGTTTACTGAAATCCCGTAGTTGCTTTGAAGCAGCATCTAAAAATGACATTGATTGCTCAAGCGTTGCAGCAGTAGCAGATGACACAGCAGTGTTAGCAGATTCAGCTCCTTTAACATTTAAAATATCAGCACCTAATTTGGACCAGACTGGCGCAGATGACAGCTTATGACACGTTAGTACAAGTGAATTACCTTGTTGCTGATTTAATTGCACTTTGTTTTCATCTAAAAAATTATAACAAAAAATTAATTATTTGTTTTTATTTAAAAATTGTTATTTTACATATGTATGTAATAATAACAATTTAACTGATCAGTTCTATACATTATTTCTAAATATTTATTAATAGTGTATACAAAAATCGAATCCCTCCTACGGTAGACAAGCTGTCATCAATTTACGAAAAAATGGTTAAAATCAAGATCAAAAGTAATATGATTGTGTTACTTATCTTTCGACGAAATAAACGGATCAAATAATGTTCATTTAATTCCCACCTACTTGAAATACATTCCACCTTCCCACGTCCAAACCATTCTCACTTCTAAGTAACGCCCTTCTCTCTTACACAAGCAATACCTATCCACATCCTAACCCATGTATTTTTCATTTAATTCCTTTCATGTTATCTGCTTTATAGATCCTTGCGGGCCACACCAACAACAAAATTTTTAACTAATCTGAATTCCAGATAATTTTGATATCACGGAAAACTGTGGTGTCGATAAAATGGCTCGGCTCGGCGCGGCACTACTCTTTCGATGGACATAATACTGTCAGAAATAGAAATTCCTATATCCGTTTTTAAACGTCTTATAAAACAAAACAAGATAAAATCAAGGCAATTACAGCAAAAAATATAATATTAAAGAACGCATAATTACTCAAGTTTAACAGAAAGTATTATTAATCCGAATACATGCTTATTTATAGATGGTAGTTTGAAAGATATGCTCGAGACTAAATTGGGTACGTTTAATAGACACTTCTATAGAAATTGTCAGAGTAAGGGCGTATATGAAACGATAGCACATTTGTTACTGCCCGGCTTTCAACAACATGAATGTATGATCTATAAAACAGAAACTAAATAGAAAGCCGTGTTTAGTTAAAACTACTGAAGCTGTGCTTATATAACGGTGCTTATATCTCCTAGGAAAATTCTTCTACAAAATATGGGTATTTTTATTTTAAAGAAGAAGTGAGCCAAATCAGAGATGATGAGGTCAAAAGTTCATAAAATAATGATTCATGTGGTCTATATATTTTCTTCATTTCGCTATTCCGCTTTTCCAAACATATAATTTTATGATAAGATATATATACTGTTACAAACATATTTTGAAGCTTAGCCTCATGATCAGTTCAAAACAAAATCATATATTTCTCATGTAGTTTAGTTTACTATTTATTATTAATTGATATATTTAATTACCTTTGCTTATTACATCAGTCGGTTTGGTTGTTACAACCATTTTGGATTCTGGTGATAAGCTCCTTTGCAACATGGTCACTGGATTTTGAAACAAATTACGCAGTTTATCAACAGCAGTAGGAGTCACTCTACAAGATAACTTTCTCGCACATTGTTGTGTTGCTGGTTGCGAGTTACTAATATCACCAATTGTGCTGAACGTGCTGTCTTGTACTGTTGAATTGGAATCTCTTCGTTGAATTTCTTTATCTGTTGGAATCGCATCAACACCGCTGGAAAAAACTTTATAGACTGTATTTTTTGTCAGTGTAATATCATTCTCATTAAAAACAGCTATTGGACAACGGCTCAATGTGGCAATGTTTGCAATTGACTGCGTTTTATCTGTTTCCAACAAATCGTTATATTCATCCGTGTTGTCAGTTACACTGCTACTAGCCAATGCTGTAGTACAACTTGAGGTTGATGAATTAGAATTATTTGAACTCAGAGATGCCGGCGATGTCAATGACGATGATGAATTTGATGCCGGAGATGACAACAAAGATGAGCAAGCATCTAATGGCAATAGACTAGAGTCACTTTTTTCAATTACAGTTCTATTTGTATTGTTTGTATTATGTGTATCATTTAAATTATTTGCCTCTTTTTTGTTGTTCGCTGTATTGTTATTAATTGCGTTTGGTGCTTTAAAGGAATCTGTTACATTGGTATCATCAGTGACTTTGATTGAGCTCGTTGTTTGAGTTACTGCACCATCAGATTCTGGTTTTTGTATTTCTGCATTTGCTGTTGTTACATCGTTACCAAATGAATTACTTGTCGTTTTGTTTATTGGAGTGGGTGGAAGGACAATAGGAGGTGTTATTGGAGGCAGCGCGCGATTTATTACAGGCACCCGTGGATCTTCATATATTTTAGAAACATGAAACCTAGATCGTGGCGATATTGACAAACGTTTAATCGATTGTGTAGATGAAGTAATAGTTGATATTGATGGCAAAGAGTTCGACGTTGGCAATGATAAAGGAGTTAAAACTTTGTTTTGCTGATAATAATTTAAAGTGGATAGAGTCGGTATAGTAACACTACTGCTTGGGGTAGATGTTAAGTTTGATGGTTGTAACATTCCCACTTGTGTTGCAGGCGGTGATGGTGTATGTGATGGAGGTGGCGTCAATGCCATTGGAGAAGTTAATGGACTAACCTCCGTCACGCGAAAAACCTGAAACCGACTGCGATTTGGTGACGATGAAGGCGATATCGTTGGTGGGCTAGGCACTGGTGAACGCAAACGGGTACCCGCTTTTCTTTTTATATCCAACTTGTTATGAGGAACTGAACTAGAATTACTAACTGAATTAGTGGAGTCAATCAAAGGACGACTGTGGCATGTTAACGATATTTTTCGTGATCCCAAATAATAGCCTCCTCGGCGCTTGTTGAGTCCAATTCCGTTTATGTGTGCCGCTTTTTCTGCTTGCAGTTGTGTTTGAGTTTTTTCGTTTCGTGAGCACATAGATCGTACATTTTCTAGAACACGCACATAATCTAAATGTTCGTCGCTACCAATCTGAAATTTATAGGAAGAGTTACAATTAAAGTTGTATGTAAAAGTTAATTACAGTCAAGCAAAAGTAAGCTTAGAACAAGAGTAAATGTTTTATACAGACAGCAGATGTAAATATTTGAATATCTTAGCATTTTAAAATGTAAAGCCTTATTGGAATTTTTTATATGAAAAAGTATGAAGCAAAATTTTCATTAAAGCATTGATTTTTCAATTAATCATTAACAGTAATAGCTCAATATTACTTACACACTCCTGCGAGGATGTAGGCGTAGCAGACTTTATACTCACAAAAGGCACTATTTGTAATTTCTCAAACTTCATATGATATATCATGCAATAATAACAACAACATTAAGTATAAAACATTAGTAATATATACACATTAGATACGACGATAAGCATGGAAAGTTAAAAACATATGACATATAATGTAAAAGAATTATGAATTTAAAACTAAAGCTTTAACTTTCAATTTTTATTTATTTATATACTTATTTATATATTTATACTATATAAAAAATAATATACCTAATAATATAATATATATAATATAATTATATAATATAATTTCATCAAAAATAAAAACAAAATTTATCTGAGCATAGAATCTGATAATATAATACTTCAATAATAATAAACCTCTCTATTGAAAACAATAGTTTATATTAAGAATTTAGTTTCTTTCGTAAAAACGGACGTTAGGAATCAATCTAATCTTTTAATTAAATCTTACTTAGATATTTATTCATCTGTAGGTGTTATTATTTTGATCACTATATTGTTAAAAAATATATTAATTCTCTCACATCCGTAAAAGACATAAAGATTTTTATTTTGTTAATACAATTAAATTATGAGAATAGCATTTATGAAATTATTTTAGCAGCCATTCTCTGGGATGTTGTCTTTCTTTACATAGGTTTTCTTTTCTTTTTTAAAAACCTATTGTAATGCTTTATCTAACTAAACGTAATAACATATGCTTTTATGTCATGAAAAAATAACGAAGACTACCTAAAGTGCTATATCAAAAATGAGTACTGACATCTGAACACAAAACGAGTCACGAGTCATTATTTCTTATATCTGTGATACTTAAAATATTTATATTTTTCGTTCAACTTTGAAAAAGTTGCTTTAAATATATTGCAGAAGCTTTAATAGAATTAGATTAGAAGCTTTAATCTGAATTATTTATGGCAGTAGATGCAGCCTAAAAGCTTCTCATGGATGTCATTCACATCGACTCGACAGTATGTTAAGTCCTTCACAAAGTAGGTAGGGCGTGCAGCGGCCATCGTTAATATATATTTCAAGACAAACGTAAGAATCAATATCTTTAAAATACTGCTAAATTACAATCCGCTGTAAGTTCTGTAGTAGCATGACCCACTAAGTGGCGTATAAAGCCTAACAACACCAAATCAGTGCATGTGGTTTTCGGACTAAAAAATATATCTTTTACTCCAGTATATATAAATTCCACGAAAATATCCAAATGGTAATGAAGCAAAATACCTTGGTTATTACACTGGATGCAAAGCTGCGTTGGAAAGCGCACGTTAAGAAAAAAATAGAATAACACAACTTAAAATTAAACAAGATAATTTATCTTATTGGCGGCCGTAAATCCAAACTGTCAATTCACAGTAAATTATAACTATATAAATAAACCCTAAAACCAATATAGACGTATGATATACAACTGTGGAAATGTCCCAGCAAAAATTTGCATTGCCACAATTCAACTTTTCCAAAATAAAGTATAGCGATGTGTAGTAAATACACCATTGTATGTTCGAAATTGTGACCTTCATCGTTACCTGGGTATGTTGCTGGTTCTAGACATGGCATAACAGTACACGCCAAAGTTCACAAAAAGCGAGTCAGAAAGGAGTCAGAATAAGTATATTTTAAACACACCCAATGTTTCGAGTATGATTCGAATGTTGAGTACTAATCGCAGTTCTCTGATCCCAACCAAAAGTCAAGATTACTCTAAAAATTTTTCTAAACTCTTTTAATTGTATTTCGTATATTAACAACTTGTAAATTAAATAAAATTCATATTTTGTCATTTATAAATATTCGTTGGTACAGAAATTATTCTGTAAATAAAGCCCAAATTATTGTGGCAACACAACAAATTTGATAATCATATAATTTCTTTTTTTTAATTCTTTTACTGTTTTTTCAATCTATACAAAAAATATACAGTTCCTGAATATGCTCATTGAAAATGGTCAAAACATTCCACTTGCTAATTAATTTAAATAAAATTTATGACTAAATACGTTAGGTTAGGTTATACCGGCGCTCCTAGGGGATCCACTTATGGCTATAAGTCCATTGTGCTACCATATTATTAAAAACCCAAGAATTAAAACCATCTAGAACCTTGGGCAAAGCTTATGATGCTCTTTAAAGGGAGATCCTAAAGTTCGCCAAGATCTTAAAAAAAGAAAGCCCCTAAAATGTTAAGGCAGCGCCGTATGTGTGCCGGACAGAAGCAAAACAGGTGGAAGGCGCTTTCATCATCCTCACCACAACTGCGGTAGATATGCTTGAAAAGGAGATTTAGTCTAGCATGGTTACCTAGAATAAAATGAATTGTAAGTAAACCTACTACAAGACTGATGTCTCAATAGGGCATCTCTATGAGAGAGTTTGTGTTTAGGTGTTCCGAGTGGTTTCCTGAAGCACCCCGTCTTGCCAGCTCGTCAGCTTTGCAATTGTCGAAAATATCCCTATGACCGGGAACCCAGATTAGAGAAATATTGAACTGCGTCGACATCTCATTTACATACATGTAGCAGTAAACGACTGTCCTAGATGTAAATTGGACTGAACTCAAGGACTTTAAAGCAGCTTGACTATCCGATAGTATATGTATATTCCTTTCAAGTATATCTTTCAAACTATCTACTTCTATCTACTTCTACTTATCTACTTACTTCTAGACATAGCTAAAGCTTACTTTATAGCAGTCACTTCTGCCTGAAAAATACTACTGACTAAATAGAATCAACGTGTTTTGTTTTAAATAAAACTAAAATTAACCTAATAGCCTATCAAAAAAACTTTTATAGCAAACAACTTCTTACATTACGTAAAATATCAGTGTTGCTGAATAATATAATATCGATATTATACGTATGATATTATTCAACGTATAAAGAATATTAAATGTAGAACAATTAATAATTATCTTCTGCACATTATGCCTATGTAGTGTTCCAGTTTTATTGAAACTGTCTAGTAATCATATTGCTGTAACCTGTTTACTGAGACCTATTTTATTGAGTCTGTTAAAGTGGGACTTAATGTTTAAGATTCAAACGTTACTGCATATTGATTAATTGGAGATAAACCAAGAATCGTTAAAAAAAATGTGTAAGATTTCTATTTTAAAATTTTTAGACCTTCGATGAAACAGAGTCCAAAGTGACTTTAAAATAATTTTATTGAGTCTAAGTTTCTTTTGCAAAATGAACAGAGGTTTGTGTGGAAGAAGCCAATATATTTTTTTCATTTTGATATTTAACAGATTAAAAAATCTTCTATTTTAGGTTCAGTAAAACGTCCAGAGACCCCTACATTTAAATTTATAATCTCTATATAATCTTTATAAGCAATTACTAATGCCTAGAGCTAATTATCCAGAACTAATTATCCAACCTCTAGTTTAATTCTGCACAGAATATAGTACATCACAGATTTTTATAAAAACAATACATATTGCTTTAACAAGAATAATAATTAAACATTATATCCAATATTATTTTTCTACAAATAATTAATAGATTTAAGTACGTGACATTTAATGAATAAAAATGCAAGTACTAATAAAAATATGGCTATTAATAAAAATATGAATATTAATAAAAATATAACTATTAATAAAAATACAACTGTTAATTAGGGACTTATAAAGGTATTATAGTCATCTAATGAAGCTTACTATTTAAATCTACCAATCACAATTTTATACATCAACAATTATTATAAACAAAAACATTATTTAGCAATATTATAAGTCATGTTATTAACTTTCAAAAAGTCATCAAAATTTCATGTTACTTAACTTTATATCAACTTTAAAAAAATAAAAGCACTCATAACTTAATTAAGAAATCAATAAATTAATATATGCATTTTAGATTCTTTATTAACTTACCGATAAGCGTTTCGGCTCATCATCAATATCAATCTGTGTAACTGTTGTATTTGACTTAAGTACTTCAGCCAGGGTCTCCAAACTTTCAGCTTCGAGTTTATTATCACGAATGTCTATGCGTTGCAGCGTATTATTGCCGCCAAAGGTAAGTATTGAGGCCAATGTTTCAATACCTTTAGCACTTAAATGAGCACTTTGTAGTCCCAGTGTCGTTATTGTTGTATTTTTGGTTAAACTATCCTTAATGAGTGTTACGAATTCATTTGATAAACAATTTTTACCAATGTTTAACAATTCTAATGATTCAGTTTTAGACATCAATTCGGATATATAACGTCCAGACTCTTTTGTAAGATTATTATTCCAAACGGCGAGGGCTTTAAGGCCATTAGGTGCTCTATTTGAAACGTCGATCGTAGTATCTGTTTGACGTTGTTGCCGTGTAAGGGTATCGTTTTTGGTTAGTTTCTCATTTATATGTATTGATGTAGAAAAATTAAGGTCACTACTGATACTACTATCTAAAGAATTATCACTGCAGAGACTATCACTGCTTTGAGATCGATTGCGAGTTGACTGTGTTATAAAAGCAGAAGATGATTCTGTGCGGCGCATGCCTAAACTTACGCCACCTGGTGAGGTAGAAGGTGGTGGCGGCGTTGGTCTAGGGCTATTAGCACACTCCTTGTGTTTAATAATTATGCTGTCTTCAGCAATAGTTACTTTCGGTTGTATTAATGTAGCAGTTTCAAGATTATCTACATGAAAACAGCTTTCGGCTTTACCGAAATCATCTACTGTTACGGTTGTATTAACCCTATCATTATTTTCAGTATTTAATGTTTCTATCTGTGGGATTGCCTGTTTAGTAGTTGGAGTTTGAATAAAATTTGTATAAAAACAATCATCGGAAACTTCAGCACTTTTTTCTTTTTCTGGTGTTTTTACATGTGAGTATAATTGTGTTAGCGGTGGGGTGGGTGGAGTTAGAGCTGAACTAGACGGAACTGCTGCTGCTGCTGCTGCTGCTGCTTCAATTAAACACTCAGTAGATTCAGTGGCAATAGTTGCAGTTTCAATGGCAAGTTCTTTAACTATATCATCTAGCCTTGTACTTTCCAGTGAAACTGAAAGCCTACTAAATTCTTCAGGTAAGTTTCGACTAATATCACATTCGGAGGCACTTTCAAATGCTGAATCTGTGCTGTGCGTGTCATCATAATCTTCTGATAACTTTGTGTTTTTATTTACATCAAGTACTTTGGCTGAATGGTGCAGTAGGAGGGAATGGGAACTATCACTTTCACGGTCACTTACTGCATTGGAAATTAGACAATCACTTTCATCTGCAGTTACTTCAAATATTCCTGAACTTTGTAATGTACTATCATCACTAGTGGCGTGCCTCAACGGATTTAAATTAAGATGCGAGTTATCATTATGATGTATCGAATAGTTATCACTGCTATTATTATCACTAACATCATTGTTGTTATTGACATTATTGTTATTATTGTTATGATTGCCTAATGACGTTATAGTAGTTGATGTTACGCTATTACTATTATTAGAATTACTATTGCTTTCAGAATTTATAGCCTCTTCAAAGTTTTTATATTCTGTAATAGAAAAACACGTTTCAGTAAATTTACAATAAGTATAATTGAAATAATATAATAACAATTAAAAAAATTACCACTTATCACATTTTCTTTTTCCATCTGCAGTTGGTCTTGTGTAACATGCTTATCAACAGATGTGCTAATTATTACATCTATAGCAGAAACACATGTGGGAGTGGAGGCCACTATGCATTCTGCTTTTGAATTTGTGCTAGTATTGGTAGTAGCAGTTAAGGCGCCATCAAATATATCATCACTTATAATACTCGCATCCTCTGAATAGCATGGCGCTACTGTGTCGGTAGATAAATTTGAAGCACCTTCTTCACTACTGCTATCACTGTTCATTGACAGTAATTTATCTAACATTGACTGTCCTACAGCTTGTACAGAATTTTTAATTGTGCTGGATTTAACTGTATCTTCAGTGTCTTCATCTAGATCGTTCTCTTCTATGCCTGTTGGAGTCACACTTAAAGTGTTTGCTATTCCTGTCGAAGCAGCTGTTAAAGTCGTCAGATCTGATTCTTGTGTCTCTATCGTTTTTGCCAACTTTTTAACGGTTTGATTTTCCACTTTTGGAGCATTGCACTGTATTTCATTGGTATTAATTGTTATTGGTTCAAAAGCATTATCATCTAAGTCTTCATTATTAGTATTTGTACGATCGTTATTGATTGTATTAGCTTTGGTTGCAGGAAGTAAGTCATCAACACTTCTTGTTTTACCTAAAGAATTGATACTTAAGTCTGCTGTTTCTATCGCTGGCGAAATATTTATAGGTGATAAGCTCTCATCATCATCTATTGCAGCAGTACGATGTAACACTGAACGTCGCTCTAATTCACTTGACTGAAGAATCAACGCATTCACCACACATTGAATTCCTTCATCTCTTATATTATTATTACTGATATCTACAAATTCTAAATAATGGTTTAATTTCAGTAAATCTGCTATTGTCTCTGCATCTTTAGAGTCCAGGTCATTATAAGCAATCCACAGCTCTTTGAGAATCCGATTGCAGCGCAATTTAAAACCTATCAAATAAAACTATAAAACTTGATTTCTGATATATTTCATTTAAAACGTACAAAGCCCAGTTAACGGTGCACCCTTAAGTCCACAATGTTCTAGTTTCAGAGTATGAAGATTAGAAGTTTTCAATGCATGTCCTAAATTTTCGGCACTCGATTTTGAAATGGGGTTTCCTTGTGCATTAAGCGATTGTAATTCCTGACTACGACTCACCATATATGTACAGGACACCCAACCGCGATGTGTCATGCCTTTTGCATTTAAAGATATATCCAATTCATTTGTAGCCTCATAATACTCAATCATATCAAACAACGCACTCAAAGCACTTTCACTTAAGTCACATGATGAAAAATTTATAGATTTATACTGTACCTAAAATAAAATACATTAAAATTTTAGAATAGCTATATCATTTAGTAGAAACTTGCACCGAAAAATACAATCGGTTATTTTGCAATTCACTTGCTGTGTTTTTAAACTGGCCACACTGTTTAAATAACCTGCTATTTGGTCATATGCTTTTACAGATAGGGGAACTTCTTCGCTAATCTTTAATGTTTCAAGACATCTGCCATCTCAGGTTCTTCATTAAATTGCAAAAACTGTTTTTGACAGCAAATAGATCGGTTTACTAATCTTATTGAAGAGGTTCAATGTTTAGTTTTTACAAGATTCAACCACAACCCTGCGTATTACTTGCAATACAACTGCATTGCATTGGACTGCGTTTCATCTTGCACTCAATATTACTTATAGCAATAAATAGGATCAATTCCAATTAATGGTTCAGTATTGTTACAGCATATCTAACTATATTTCACCCTGAAAAAAAAATTAAACTTCGTAACGATGGCATATGTTATTATCTATATACATATATAGATAATAACCACATAAAATTAATTAAAAATAAAAACCAACCAACAGTTTTTTATTTCGTTCACATAAGGCTTTAACAACATAAATAATAGTTCTATCCTATACATAATAATAAACTAAAAGAATCTTCCAATAATTTAGTAAGCATTATATATTAGATGTCGTTTTCTGTATCGACTTACTCTATAAAACTGAATTTTGTTTCGTTAGAACATTACGACGAAAAATTATTTTTGCTAATTTTTGGAAAGGCTTGGAAGATAATTCATAAATTCAGAAAGGTATTATTATGTGAAAAGAAAGTCTTCATATTACAACTATTTTATTACCCATTAATCAGTATACAACACTTAACTTACCCTTTTGAAGACTTCTTCCAGCGCTTCGCAATCGCTTGGTGATAATTGAATTGACTTTAAAGATAGCTGGCCTTGCCTTAGTTGCTTATTGGTCTCCACACCTTTCAAATGTTCCAATATTACAGGAAGTGGTTTGGTGTTGTGTTTATAACAAGATAGTACATACAATTCAGTTATCTCGGAGATGCTCTTTACCATGCACGCTAAAAATAAAATCAAAATGTAGAATTAGTGGTTGATCATATATATATCTTTATAATTAAATGAAAATAATAAATATAAAAATAAAAAAAACTACTTAATACATATTAGAGAAAACGAAAAAATAATTATTACATATCATAAGATACTTTTTGGTATCAACTTTCAACTATCAACTTTCAATACATCATCCAACAGTACCGCTAATCAATAACTTGTTGAGTTATTAGATTTTAAGATAGTACCATTTTCGAATTTATATATTGAAACAATTAAAAATTTTGTAAAATTATGATATAGTGTTACTGTCTGCACTTCTGAACTGTTAGCATTCAATTTGAAAAACTTTTTATACTGCCAAATAGTACTATGTCGAACCCTATAAAATACTGTTTCGGTGAATGGGAGTTAAAAGTACCGCCACAAGCAAAAATAAGACCTAACATTGTACTAAACTATATACATATAGACAAAATATGTTTTTATACTTTGTTAATAGTGATCTAAATACTTTATATAAAACAATCTGTTGACCAATTCTGATCGATCCGTAGAGATACTAATCGAAAATCCTTAAACTCGACTAATAAGGGTACTCATCACTTAAAATGTGGGTTGCATTCTTAAATCTTCAACACTGAAGTAATCGGTTAGATCAGTGTTTCTCAATGTGGAGCAATTTGATTTTTAAGGGCGAGAACACAATGTTTGAAAATTCGCTATGTTCGTGCAAGCGTTAAAACTCCTTTGATCTTTCGAGTTTAATCTTTTCTTGTTTTGATGTAAGATCTTGTGCCTTTTGGAACTTGTAAGACTTTGCCTTGAGCTCATTTTGGAATATGCGTCAGATACTTCGCTAGGGAATTTTCAGTTCCTTGACCATTTGATTACCACTACGACGTGGATTTCGTACAAGTCGAGCCTTCACTTTCCGAACCATTTTAGGTGATGTTGCTGTTTTTGTTTCGTTCGCCACCATAGCATTTGTCGACGCTACCTGTACTATTATAACGATTTATGGTACGACATACAAAATGACTCGATTTTATTCACTTTGAGATGTTTGAACTCATGAACAATAATAGCTGGTTGAGATTTTTCAGTCAATTATAACCCAATCACACTACTACGTTAGAATTTCATTTTGATCGAATCACATTTCTTCTATAGAACTTAAACGCAAATGCTTATGGTAGCTTGTAAGCAATATAAACAGCTGTCATATGAACAGCTGTCGTATGAATTTCACGTAGTTGGCAATATCAGTTTGAGAGATATACCAGTACGTAGTTGGTAACACTTTAGTCGCCTAACGCTGTATATCAAACGATATTTCACTTGCTGTTAAGGGAAAGGAAGTGAAATATCTTCCTTGTATACAAAATATTTATTTATTAGTTCATGTTACTTTGCTTCAAAAAAAGAAAGAAGTGGCAATAACAACAACAATGCTATTAAAAAATTCAGAGGCAAAAATTCTATTACTTTATATCGAAATAATGCCCTACGCAGATAACAACCGCAAATAAAAACTGCAATGGCATCCACACGTTTACAGAGCTCAGTTGACACAACTTTTGTGGCTGCCACAAAATTATTGTATGTGCCTTACATGCTGAATGTGGGATTAGCCATAAAAAATACAAAACAATTACATTCGGCACTGCGTAGCAGTTTTTTAAATAAAAAAAATTAATCGATTTTGTTGTGCTTAGGGCAGTTAAAAATCGATCCAACTGCTTTTTCTTAGTCCATTTTTTTCTATATAATAGATAGATTAATTGGTTTTAGTTGATGTTGCATGGCATAAGTAGTAAGTGAATTGGCGTAAATTTGTTTATTTGTATTAAGTTAAATAATTATAGTATATTTTTCTATATATTTAATAGCAAATGATAATAATTTTGTACGCATTTATATACACATTTTCAATTTTGTTATAAAATAATTTTTTTTTTATATATATTTTTATATTTCTTAAATTTTAAACATTTTTAAATAAACAATAGTTTGAGAACTACACTTTATTTTAAATATACGTATATTTATGGTTTGAACATTTTGGAAATGAGTTTTTACCAAAAACTTCACACTAAGTTGTGCACCCATTAATTGACCCATTAAATTTTTATTGTTTAATGGGTAAAATTAAAAAAATTGCGTATAAAAAGGAAACGCACTAAAATGACCCAAAATCACCCCTAAAGACTTTAGTTGGGAGTTATAGAACGAAAAAAAAATAAATTTATATAAATTCGCTTATGGACTAAATTATAATAAACCCTTTATTGGGATTGTCTAGTGCTTGGATAGTCAGCGCTATTGAAAATTCATACAAGAATATTTCTTCGAAATACTATCTACCACCAGGAGCGTAACCAAGAGGGGAAGTGAAATTGGCAGTGCATCCCTTTCCGAAGCCTGGCGGGCTATTGAAAATTCATACAAGAATATTTCTTCGAAATACTATCTACCACCAGGAGCGTAACCAAGAGGGGAAGTGAAATTGGCAGTGCATCCCTTTCCGAAGCCTGGCGGGAAAATGGTGATTCATTATAAAATGATACAAATAGGAGAATTAATCATCGGTTTCACAGTCTGTTTAAACTGTGATTGTTAAGTATGCATATGTTTTAAAATAAGAAAAATATTTATAAATACCAAAAGACCCTATATATTATATTATATTATAACGCTTTATATTACTGGAAATATTAATTTTAAAAAATTTAAACAATTAGGTGGGGTTCCGCCCCCTTTAAGCTTTGCTCGCCAACCCCTATTTTATTCATACGTACTCTTTCATATTCAAAAATTTATATGTGCTTTTAAAATAGTCTAGAAGAAACATATACTTATGTTCTAGTCTTGAAGTTCTTAAAAAAATTTGACGCCTCTTCTAGAGAATGTTGAAAGCACAAACATATTGTTAAATATAAACGGGTACGTAGGAATATAACGTTTAGCCTTCTTCATGCAATCCCAATATTCAACGTTGGCGTTTAATTTTATTTTTTTAATACAAATCACGTTTTTGTTTACGTTTTTATTAAATTTGTTCCTCTGATAAATATTCTACACGTTTTCGTTTTCTTTTGTTTTCAATTATATCCAAACTTAAATTTTCGATACGTTTAGAAACATTAATAATTCGACCCATTATTTCTATCATTTCTTCTTCTAATAATAAAAATAACACTACACTGCAGAACAAGCATTGTGACGTCATAAAACATTGTGACGAAAAAATAACACTGCATTGCCATCATGATGACGTCATAAGTGTACAACGACACAAATTACTTTTTTATAAGAGAGAGAATGAGAGAGAGAGGGGGAGAGAGAGAGGGAGAGAGAGTGGGAGAAAAAGGGATAAATAACAATACACTGTAGTAAGAGCATGATAACGTCATTCACCGGCATATATTACTTTTTTTATAATATGTCAAAAGATATCCATATCAAATATTTATACCAGAAGAGTGTTAAGGTTCTACTTTTAAATCAGCTGCTATATAAGCAATTTCTCCTTGTATGTCGCATAGATGCGTACTCGTATGATGAATTCAAAATATTAAGTCTTATTCCAAAAACCATGCTTGTACTCTCGTAGCAATATTCAATGAGCAAATGACAACCGAAGAGAAAAGCACAATAGCATCCACAGTTCTACTTTTGCAGCTGCTTCTGTGGCTGCCTCGAAATCGTTATTTGTTTTACATGTAAACCATACTTAGTACAGCATGTGGTTATCATCTACCAGAACAACAAAAAAACTAATCAAAGCCATAAGGACAAGGCAAGAACTTGAGTCCAATTGACGTTTGGAGAGAGGTCGCTAAATTTCTCTGCCTTGATCCTGAGATTGACTTCAATTTAAATCCCACCCATTCCCTGTTGTTGTTGTTGTTTCTGTTGTAAACTGCTAGGCCCAGCTTATAAAGTCCTTTTTGGAGGTGTCTAATGGCACTTGGTCGTCGCTGGCGACGAGTGGCTCCGAGACGTAGACCCGGCCATTCTTGAAACTCATTCATGTAACCATTCTCACTTCGACATAATACCCTCCCCTCTCACAACCAATACCTATACACACCCTAATCCAAGTATTAGTCCAGCAATTCCTTTTATGTTATCTGCTTTATAGATCCTTGCGTACTACAACAACAAGACAAGGCAAGCCAAGAATATACATACATATTTTATTTCATGTTAAAATTTAATTTTCAAGTAATTATTGATCTACTTTAATTTAAAAGTTAAAATAATATAAGAATTAAAATAAAATAAAACATTACGTAAACACAATAAAAATAGTATATACATATTCTATATATGTATATGTATACATATACATACATATATGTACTTTATAATTACACTTCATTTATTTCGTTTATTAAATCTTGGTTACGTTACTCTATCACGCTTATCATCAAGTGTGTATTTGCACATATTTTTATCTTTTTTAATTTTTTCGATTTATTTTTATTACGATGGCAAGTCAATAAGTTATTAGTAGAATATAGAACACTATAATTATTAACTTTTGTGATACACAGTTGTACAAATTTCTTAAACCGTTCGAATAACATATTTTCCTTTTCCTTAAAATAAGCCACTGTGTCATCGATTTCCTGCTCTTAGATCGCAAACTTTCTTCTTCTTCTAATTTTGCAATTTTGAAAATTGTCGCATAGGGCTAGATCTCTCCAATATGCAGCATGCTTAGGCAATTTGATGTGTAATTCATTTATATATTATGTATATATTAATTATATTACACTGCCTTCATTCTAAAAAATTGAGATTAACGCTTTCTCGACCAACTTCATCATCTGACACTTCCTCACAGTTGGTTCACTTGGTGAAGGAAAGGAAAGTTTTGCTTTCGTTTTCTTTTGAAATGTTTAGTATCGAACAGTTATTAGCAGATGCAGAAATTTATAAATATTATTTTGAAATTACTTTGCCATACGACATCATACCTATTAATTCAAGAAGCTCTAACTTGTCAATCAGTTAAAACAATACCATAAAGTTTGGGCTTCTCGAACGAGGAGTGACACAAGTGCGTTGCCACGTAGAAATTCAATAACCCAATTATAATAAGTTGGAAAGACTAATACTAGATTCACACAAGAGTTTTGTTTCTAATTGTAGCTGTCAAAACTCTCGTATGAATCCAGTATAAGACAGATTTGCTATGAATCATAATAAGAAAGAACAGGGTATTAGCTCCCATTTGAGCAGAGCACCGCGACCATGATTGATCTTTTGTGCTACAACAGACCCTAACTGAACAAAAGACATTCCGCCTTTCGAATGAAGGCCAGAATGTCGGTTGTTGAGGACCTCCTAATGTCTGAAGGTGCTAGTAGTTCCCGACCCAGTGATCTCCTCCTGGCCTAGATCAAAGCTGGGCAGTCACATAGAATGTGGCTGGTTGTCTCATCTGCCTCCCAGCAGAGTCTACAATCTATCTCTTCGGATAGGCCCATTTTGTTGAGGTGGTAACGTAGCCCATGGTGACCCGTTAGATATCCCACTAGCAACCTCAACTCTGTTCTGCTAAAGGAGGATATCTTATGAATCATATCCAATTAAGTTTCGTCTTCTTTCAGTATTTAAACACCTTTCTTACGATAGTATTTAATCACCTTTAATCACTTTACGATAGTAGTTTCGTTTTTTTTCGTTCAAAATTTGACAGTAAACAGCTGATTAATGCTGCATGTCAAAAACATTAATAGAACATCCTACTGCAAGTTACTCTGGCGTCTTTTATTGACTTGCCCTCATATAAGTACATTTTCTCTTTGCTCATCTATAAGAATTTTATTATTATAACAAAGTGCTTGAAAAATTGACTCCTAATTACCCAACTATGTGTATGTTTGGGATAATAAATCTGTGCTATTTTGCACAGAGTATAAGAAATTTTCAGTTTCTTACACTTTCTGGTGCACAAAAATCTATTTGAATTAAAAATTTTAGAAATATAACTCTTTTAATATTACAATGGGAAAAATTAGATTTTTTATTTAAAGTTACTTACTATGTTCCCAAGGTTTCGCCGGCTCCAAATAACCGGTTACCAATTCATTATCACTTTTTGGGAATGAAACTCGGCGAGGCATATTAGGTGATGAAGAGGCACTTAGGATTCCAGATTTTAAGATATTTGCTATATTACTTAAAGATCCAACTGCGAAAGCACTCGCAGTTCCTGCTGTAGGCGAAATAGAACTGGATACATCATAATTATTATTTGTTGTATTAAATTGTTGTGTTAGTTCGGCCTGTTGTTGTTGTTGCTGTTGACTGCGTCTTAATATTACACCAAATGTTGGCTCGCTAGAAGTATGGGCTAAATGGGGACTTTTGGAAACTGTTTCCGCTGGATTTGTTAATGTGTCTATTGGTTTTTCAGAATTTTTAATTTTTTCTTCTTCAACAACTATTATAGTTTTACTGGTGGGATTATTATCAATAATATTAACATTATCTGAATTTACATTATTAATATTATTTGAAACGGTACTAGTATCTGTTACTGATGTTGTTATTATTGTCGTTGGAATTGGTATTGGTGTTGGTGTTGGTGTTGGTGTTGCTGTTGGTGTTGGTGTTATTATTGATGTTGTTAGTTTTGGTGATCGTTCAGTTTCTATATCAGCAACATTTCCTAGAGTTGGTAACATTTTATCAGTAGCTACTGAAAAAGTTACCAACGTTGCACCGCCGCCAAGTGGTTCATCAGTTTCTGTACTAACATTGGTTTCTTTAGTTTTCAGCTCAATTTCTGAATCATTATGTTTAGATATATTTATTGTTTTATCAACAAAACTATACACATTCTGATTATCAATATCCGAAATATTTGTTGTCAATATTGTTGATGTCGTTGATATTGTTGTTGTTGTTGTTGCTGCTGTTGTTGCTGCTGTTGTTGCTGCTGTAGTTGTTGTTGTTGTTGATATTATTGAAATACTTGTTGTTGGAGCTGTTGTAAGTGAATTTGTTGCACTTTCCTCAATAGCACTTGTTAAATCAGAATTATTTTTAAATTGTTCAGTACTGTTCATATTCATCTTATATTATAATATTAAAATTGTTTTGTTTTGTACTTAAAATATATAATAAAAAAATTTTTTAATTAATATAGTTTTTGAAAATAAAGTAAACACTGTGAGAACACAACAAATATTTACACAGCCGAAATAAATGCATGAATAAAGCAATGAATAGATATGCATATGTAAAAGATATATAGAAAAAAATAAATGATATGTAAGCTATATGATATTAACAACATCCCTAGGGCATCAGTAGGTAATTAAAAAAAATTAAATAGATCGTATATAAAATAAGTAACGAAATTGGAATTTCATAAATATTAAACACACGTTGAACCCTAGAGCGAAAGCTGCATCTTAACAGTCCCGGATAATAATCAAATATGATTATTATAATTTTTAATTCGTTATTTTGTTGTTTTTTAAGTTATACAACAATAATACTACTATTTATACCTCTTTTGAGTTGAGTTCCAATATTTTAACAGAGATAATCATGTGATGTACATTCTCTTACACGACATTTCTATAGTTCTAAAAGATCTACAATGCTAAAGATATCAGTAATATTCTTTATAAAAAAAACAAAAATAAAAAAATAAACATTGGATTTTCCTTTAATAGAATCCACGACTTGGAGCTTTCTCTCTATTTATTATCATTATTAAATATCGCATTTCAATCATTATAATTCGATATTTTTACTATTTGTTTAACTTTTTTATGGATGGAAACGTTTATTATTGTTTTTGTTTATGTTATGCCATATTTGTATGGAAAGGTTATACATGCATAGGTGCATTTTGGTATAGGTTTTATTAAGTCTGCAATTGATCTGCTCATAAGTCTATATTACTATTGTTTATAAATTATAGATAGATGCTCAAATATCATAAACAAACAACATAGGTATGTGTCTGATGAAATATTTTATAGCTATATTTTATAAGCTCTATAAAATTAAACTCTATTAAATCAAATATTTTTAATAGTATTGTTACTATTACTTGGTTTGAAAAATATTTAGTATTAAATTTAATAAGCTCTACTATTATTAAACTGACTAAATTCAATTTTTTAATGGTATTGTTACTATTACTTATTTTATTTTATAAGCTCTACTATATTAAACTATTTAAATTAAATTTTGTTTTAATAGAATTGTTACTATTTCTTAGTTTATTTTATAAGCTCTACTATATTAAACTATTCAAATTAAATTTTTTTTAATAGAATTGTTACTATTACTTAATTTATTTTATAAGCTCTACTATATTAAACTGTTCAAATTAAATTTTTTTTAATAGAATTGTTACTATTTCTTAGTTTATTTTATAAGCTCTACTATATTAAACTATTCAAATTAAATTTTTTTTAATAGAATTGTTACTATTACTTAATTTATTTTATAAGCTCTACTATATTAAACTGTTCAAATTAAATTTTTTTTAATAGAATTGTTACTATTACTTAGTTTATTTTATAAGATCTATTACAGAGTTGCCCAGACCAGATAAGATCACGGGCTAATACAAATCACTGAATATATTGGAGAACCGCAGAAATAAACACATACGTTTATAATTTTTCCGAAGAAAAGTGAGAAAACATAAATAATGTTAACTTTAGTTATATTAAATCATTATTAATTTATCTTTTATAATTCTATCAATATCAGCATTATTAATATTAGTACTTTATTTTTTAAGGAATATTAAAATAATCTACAAAGAAATACATTTTTACTAAAGTCTTTGTCCATTAAGTAAATTAATTATATTATTTATTTGGGATAAAAATAAAAATAAAATAATGTGATGTTACTAAAATATAACAAAGAAAAACTTGGCTTATTGTGGTGGACTTGAAATTTGTCGCGGGCCGCACATATATTAATCGCGAGCCTCACATATATTAATCGCGAGCCGCATTAGGCTCGTAGGCCGTGCTTTGGACAGCCCTGATCTACTATATTAAACTAACTAAATTAAATCTTTTCAATTTCTGGTACTTGAAGTCTCAAAACTAGTTATTTACGAATAATTAAAAACAAGAATTATTTCCAAGATCACTGATGATTAGTATTTGGTAATACTCGAAACAACTGCATGGTCAGCCAAAAATTCAATTAATTAAAATAATATAAAATTAATTTTTGTTGTTGTAAGTCACTACTGTTCGAAGAAACCTCTTTATTAAATTTTTTTTAATGGTATTATTACAAATCGTGCCCTTTGCTTCTCATAGGATCTACAGGAACTAATGTATAATATTGTTACTATTACTTAGTTTTTATATAATGCCTTAAGATTAAAATGATTTTTAGAGATGTAACATTAGGTCACATCTTGACTATCAATAAAATGTAAAGGTTAAGTTAATTATTTAATGGTTTAATTTACTAGATCTATCTTTAGACATGGGACAATGCATAAGGTACAGCACCGAATAACAATTAGCTATGAAGAAGAGATAGCAGATATAACCGCCTCATCACATAGGTATAAATATGAATATGAATATGAGAACCCATAAAACAACTGTCTACCATTCTTCACGATTTTTTAATTATATCCTTGAGAAGCAAGAATTTGCTGAATTACGTGTTGCAAACATTTTCCATAAATTATAAATAAAAAATAAATAATAAAAAATTGGAATTGAAATTATTTAAATATTTTATTTTTCAGTAAATGAGTAAATGAATGAATATATTCGGTGTATATAAGCATAAATTGCAGTAGGAATATTCCAATGAAAATATTACAACCACCAGCAGAATGGAGTTAAATTTGCTAAGGAAAAAGATGATTTCATTTATTTTTGGCTGTTTTTTTTTCAAATTATTTTTTTACTTTTTGTTTGGCTTGTTAATGTCTTGCGTTTTAAACTAAATATTTAGTTTTTGTTGCTGCTGTTCGTTGAGTTTGGGACTCCAAATGTTTTTGATTATATTTGTGCTTTATTTTTTGTTTTTGTTTTTGTTTTTGTTTTTCTTTTTCTTTTTGTAATAAGTTTTTTGTGTATATTTTATTGTATGAAATTATACGTCTGTTCTTAAAAAAAATACTTTTTAGTTGCACGATTATATCACTTTTTACTTTTCGCCTTTACAAGACGTTTATTAACTTTATACCAATTATTCTTGTTTTGGTTGGAAATATGTGAAACGTGTGAACTTGCATTGGACTACACTTTTCTCGGATTGTAATTATTTTGATTGCATACGAATTTTTTGACGCTTTAATGTTTTTGTTTTTTTGTTTTTTGTTTTTTGATTTTTTTGTTTTTGTTTTTGTTAATAAGAAATTGTTAACTTAGTTTTTATTGTGGCAGAATAGTTTTTATAATCGCTGTTACGGGGTAAATTACATTTTGTTATTGCTTTGTGGTATATTTATTAATTTATCGTTGGGTCTAACAATGCTGCCGTTAGATATAAACTTCTTCGCCATCCGTCCACGCACATGTGAAGTAAATTTATTTATCTTTTTATTTTCCAAAAATGTGTATGTTTCTTTGCTCACTTCATATTACTGCACTTATTTAAAGTTATCTTCAAAAACAATTTTGTATAACCTTACAGTATGAAAAATAAGCGTAATGCTCTCTTAAATTTTTTACATTAATATATAGTTGTCTTATTTTGAATAATTTTTTTTTTTTTTAATTTTCGTTTTTAGATAATTTCATTCTTTACAGTTTTCTCCTTTGTTACACAATTTTGAACTTGTTCCACTTCAAAAAACTAGTACCGCATGCATTTGATTTATCTTTCCAAATTAAAAACATCTAACAATTTTATATTATAATAAACTTTTTTAGTTTCCACTTGTACATTTATTTCATGCTGAAAATATAAGGACACATGTATTTTTGGTATAATTTCCTCTTAGCCGTGTAGCAAAATCATGAGCAATAAAATGTGTAGCAGATAAGAAAAGAAACGGGAGGAACTGACAAACCGCAGAGAAAAACAAAACTGGTAAACAACAAATGAGAATATACTGGGTGCTAGGTTGGTATTTGGTATAATTCCACAGAAAAATAAAGTAGAGAGCGAACTACCTCTGCATAGAAGAGCGCAAAACAAAATCAAAACCAGCTGATTATTGTTATACTGTGTTTACACCAAAGTATGATCAAACCTATTTGGCACATTTTTGTATGGATTTGTATGAGGTGAGATACTTTTTAAGTGTAATTGTCAGTTTAAGTTTACATTGATTTATTACAATCAATAGAGTTATTGTAGTTATTAGTTATTTAAAATAAGAGTTTGAGAAATATATATTTATTAAGTGCAATAAACGAATCGTATTTGTTTTACTTAAATTTATTTTATGTACAAACCGTATTTGACACAAAACAATTAAAAATAATTAAAGTTTTGAATTATTTCGTAGTATACTTTTAGCCTAAAAAGAAATATGTATTTTAATAGCAATAAATTTAGTATTGCAAGAAATCTGCAACAATTTATTGAAATATGAGTTATTAATTGCAATTAATACAGCAGTTTGAATTGGGTTATAAGCCTATTGTTATACTATGTATTGAGCGCAAAATACAATAATTGTGGACTTATATAAAACATAATGTTGTGTTTCTCAGTTTAAAAATAAATATGTATATATAAATAAAAACAGTAATGTCTTTTTCTAAAATAATCTCTTAATCATTATCAAAAACAAAAAAAATTAAAAGCGCGTAATTTTATTTTAGTCCACAATAATCTCCGAATCAAAATTAAAAATTTTAATGAAAAAAAATTTTTAGTGAAGAATTCGTCATATATGTCACAATTTAATGTACATAAAGCTTTTTCTTTTGTAAGTATATCACAAAAGAATAACCGCTTATTTTAAAAATCACATATGAAACAACAATACTGCTAACTTATTTAGTTCAACCTTTAAGAAATCGGATAACTAATAAGCAATTCAAATCGCATAGTTGCCAAGACTAAAAATTCGTCTATTGTGAACGACTTTTGGAAGTACCTACGACAAAGAATATCTTTACAAGAACGGAAACTCCGCCCACTTCGTGAGAGTGCATTTGAAATTGTTTTTGAAAACTTATTTTTTATAACATTTCGGCACACGTATTAAATACATGTGATCTTACCACGATAACATCAAATTGCTCTCTTTTTGGGGTTGCAGTATAATAATTTGCTGCTACTTGCTAATCATATGTTAACTTTTTATGCTTCCTTATTTGGTTAATAATATTACATTACGTAAACAAAATATATATTGTAACAAGTAATATATGATAAATAAATTTATAAATTAATATATAATAATTTGAATCAATTAATTTAAATCAGTTTAGTTTGTTTAATAATGTAATATATATTCAGTAAATTAATTTTTGTTGCTATTTTCATATGAATTTTATAATATTTTAATTTATTACGTTCGGCAACAAACTTTTGTAGAAGCAAATTTTTTAATTAAATAAAAACAAACAGTTTTGAATATTTCTTATTTAGTGAGTTATATTTTCTTATATATTTTTTGAGCGTGTAAAACATTATTTCAAAAACAATTTTGATATAATAGCATTAAATACCGTTTTGATGTGAAATTAATAACAAAGATTGAAGCTACTACCAATTCACTTTTTTATACGGCAGCACTTAAGTGATCCATGATAAATTGTGTTTCTCTGCGAAGACTTAATTTTTAAATTTAGTGCCAAAAAATATGTTGATGGGGAAGGGTGTACGCGCATTCCCTTTAAATGTGTGGTACGTATTATTGCCTTGCATGCATTTCTAATTGATTAGTAACAATAAATCTGTTGATAAGGGAGGATGTGCGCGCATCCGCTCTAAATGTATGTGGTGAATAATACTTATTATTAATTTACGTACATTAGTGTGTGATCAGTAGCGAAAAATCTATTGATAAGAGTGGGTGCATGCGCATTCATTGTCGGATTTATGAGTTTTTCTTATGAAGATATATTTTTATATAAAATTTAACAATTTTTAAATTTTAATATTGAAAAATTTTAATTTTATATTATGATTATAAAATATATTTATATATAAATACTAAAGTATTTAAAAATATTAGCTAAGTTTAATTAAAAGAAGTACAAGTTGTTTACATAATTTATTATTGTTATGAAATGAAATAAACTTGATTATTTACCAGAATTAATGCAAGATTTAAACGAGATATATGCTATACATTTTTAGTTCATCTGTTTAATGAATATTATAAATATTTACATAATATAAAAATTAAAAACATATTTATTTTTTTTTGTGTTGTTTATGTATAGAATATATGAATATTTTCTTCAGAATTTAAATGATCTTAAAAACATAAATTTATTAGGGTTCATGATATGATCATTAACATGTAGCGCCTTATGTTTATGTTTTAAATATTTTAATCTCAATGTGAACATAAAATGCACACTTACTAATATTTTAAAATAAATAGTAAAATACTTTCGTTAAACTGTTTTATTAGAAATATGCATAGAAATTAAATGAAAATTAATTTTCTTTCATCATTATTGTGTGAAAATTTAAAAAAAGAACTATAACAAATTTTTTACATCCCTTGTATTTTCCTATTTCTACATTTAGTTTATTTAGCTATGTAGTTTATTCGACCAAAGTTCAAGATTTGGTATGCATTTTCCACACCACCCAAGAGGTATGCATAAAGGTGCGTTACCGAGTTTATATGTCGGTTCCCCAAGAGGCATATCCACTATTATATATTGGTTATAATTTTTTACAGATTTTTACAAATACAAAATTAACAGAATAATAATTACAATACTTTTAAAAATTAATTGCAAATTTAAATATACATAAACTAAAAGCAAAAAATTATTAAAGTAAAAACTTAATTTATATGTAAAAGTCAACTGAATATCATGTGAAAAACTAAGCTTATGAATGCGTTACACGCAAGAGCTTTTGCTTATAGTCAGGTGTATTTAGAACCCTATTAAAAAATTTTAACAGGAAATACATGCGTACCCTTATAAAAAGAGTTAAAATACTGTCTGTTTAGCAGTTTTGACAGCAAACATATGGACGTATATTTTTTAATTTTTGGTATAAAAATTGTGCTATACCTACTTTTTGGTAACTGCTATTAAAGTGTTTGCAAAATTTTAACTACTTTTTGTTAAATATTTGCGCAGTAAATTTTGTATGATTTGGCGCAACGAAATTTTATATTACTCTCAAAAAATCAAAACCAAAAAACAAAACCACACTCTTTCTTACACTCTTCATGGTAAACTTTTTGAAATATTTCGTTCTCAAAAGTACTCGAAGCATCGGAAAAAGGTGAAAAGGTGAAAAATTTCAGGGATTTCAGCTGGTGTTAGTGCACTTTTCACTAACACTTTCAAGAGCTCTACGGCAAATTGTTGTTGTGCGAAAAAACAAATTTTAGTTCACAATGGAGTTGCCGTTCTTGTAAGGTATTCTTTGACCTACGACATATCCAGTTAACCGTCAACGCATGATTTCGTTAATTATTTATATTTTGTGTCTTCATTGTTCATAACAAATACGTTACTTTTTCTATTTATTATTTTGCTGTTAAAAGGCATGCAAATTCATATTTTATTCACAATCATGTAAAAAAAACATTCTTACCAATAATTATAAAAAATTTTTATTCAACTTTAACTGTAAGTTTAATTGTAAGTTTTATAACTTGTTTTGCATATAAGCCTAACAAAATTTCCATTTTGTCCAGAGTTGCCATCGAAAGAAGTGGTTATTTTAATTGTTCTTTTACGACATGCTTACAAAAGAAAAGAGCTGTAGTCAAGGAATTATTAATCTAATGGCCCGTATAAAAAGGCATTGTCTTATTGCAGTATATGAAAGTATTAAAAAAAAATTTTAAACTGACCAGTTTAATTTGTTGCACTATATATAAAACGTATAGTTTTGTTTTTGTCAATTTAATATCATGTGCATTACAAACACGTTTTTTATATTACATACCAATTAAAACTTTAAAATAAAGTGAAAAATAATAATTCACATACCTGAAATCCACTAGAGCTAATAAAACTACTGAATGCCATCCTTAATAGATATAATAATAACTTTTTAAAATTTCCCAGATACAATTGGTGTTTGGAGCAAGTAATTTTTAACGTTCGATTTGAAAACAAACCACATATAATTTCCTTTATTTGGCGCAATATAAACACTTTCAAAATTGACTTAATTTCATTTTTACGAAATTAACGAAATTTGGCTGTCTGAACATAGTATTATGCTTCCTTAATAATTTCGTAGTATACTTTTAGTACAATAAAAAATACAACCTTGCATTTTAAAAACAATAATTTTGTATAGTATTGCAATAAATCTGCAACAACAATTCTATGGAATTTATTCACATTCGTTTTAGCTATAATAAGTGAAATTAATAAAGCAAGTACGATTTTTCTCTCAAACTTCATTTTATTACGGCAAAGCAACGTGTGAAGATGATAGTTTTTCTTTATTATCCTGTCACTTTATTAGGAGTCTTAATTGCAATCTTTATCAAATCTTTTTTAATTGAATCTAACTACAAAGGATATCAATGATCTTTAGAAGTAATTTTTACTTATAGGCCGTTTGCGAGTTCGAGTTGACCAACTTTCCCTTGCGTTTCCATTTTGCAAAATTTTAAGTAAAATTGGTGTAAAGTGTATGTATTTTATTGAGAATATAAAAAAATTTTATTTATTGAATTTTTTAATATAAAATAATTTTTATATGTGTTTTATAATAATAATAATAATGCCAACATAAAAAAATAAATTGGGAAGTAAAGAAATAATTTTTATTTTATTTTTTCCCTTTGGCAATGCCATTTTATTCAAATCACAGTTGAAAACGTCTTTTTAATATGCAATCGTTTTAATTTGCTCTTTCTGATTTTGCAAAATTACTGTACTTCAACTTTTAAGAAAACACTGAATTAAATTTTATACTACATTTGCACGAGATTTTTATTTGTAATTTTAGCTGTCAAGAATTTTTATTTAGCATTGAAAGCAACAACAATTAACAGCTATAACTATAAACATGATAGAAAGAAACGTTGTGTAAAAATATTCAAAATTTTGTGTAATGAAAGCATCATGCAGTACAGAAACAATAAGCCCAATGCTAAACCACGGCGCTT